AAACACACACACACACACACACACACACACACACACACACACACACACACACACACACACACACACACACACACACACACACACACACACACACGCACACACATGCACACACATGCACACACACACACGCACACACATGCACACACACACGCTCGCACGCACACACACAATATACATGTAACAATATAACACATAAAAATACAATACATTTAAAATTTTTTACAAACATGCACATGCAATAATCAATCAAATAAAAACACAACACATACATAACAGCTACACACGCACACACACATGCAAAGCAGCCTAACCTAGTCTGGTTTTGAATTTTCCAATCAAACCATGTACGACCCCATGACAGACAGGGTTTAATGTCTTCATGATGTCATCAGCTAGTTGATGAGAGTAAATGATGTTATGTAAAGTCATGTGACGTTATGTAACGTTGAGTGACGTCATTTTTGATGTCATGACTGTTGTTATCGTAACATTAATGTCGTCATTATGATATTATGTTATCACGCTGCAATTAACATCTTAAATGTTTTACAATGATACTGAATTATTAATTGACTGCTGCAAACAACACAGTTTTACATGACACAAAACCAACATGGGTGCACTGATAGGGAACCATCCACCTTACTACACCACAAACTACTCTGCCTTGACTTTAAGATGAAATACAGCTCATCCTCAATCAGTTCAATCATTTTTCTTTTTCTCTAATGAATGGACAAGTTAGAAAAATTATCCAGCAATAATAAGTGATTTAAATTCCTTATACCAGTTATTTTTATACTAATTATCAAATATTTTACTCAAACAAAGAATATTAATTATTTTAAATTTATTTCTTAAAAAAAAAAACAAAATATAATTTCTTTTTTTTATGTTTATGAAAAACAAAGATTAATATTTTCTCATCACACTTTTGAAATGTTTTTAGTAAATGATTTAATGACTACTCGCATAAAAAAAAATAACAAAACTGTTATAAAAAAAATACATTTATAGATTTAGAACTAATTTATTTGAAGCTTGATTGCATTACCTTTGGCTTTAGTCAGCTCTTCAACCTTTAGTTTTATAATTGAAAGATAGTAAGGTAAGTGTCAAGTCCAATGAATTCTTTAATTTTAATTAATTAAATCAACTTCTGAACAGAACTGCCTTTGAAGTTTGGTGTATGTATATTAATATACGTCAGATATAGTGTATTATATCTGATACAATACTAATTGTAAATAGATTAATTTTTTACTAGCTAAATAATAATCTACTAATAACTAATGCCTAATTTCCAAAGTCTAATATGCTAATGACTTTTTCCGGAATAAAATACCTATATGTTAATTAATTATGATCTAATAATTAATTTGTTATTGCAATATTTATAAATAATAAATATATTATTGTTTTTATTTTAGCTAAAAATATGGTTGATAAAAATAAATGAATTTAGATGGAGTTAAAGTGGCATTTAAAAATAATATAATTGATTAATATAAATTAAATTATCATTGACATTAAATTATATTTATAAAAATTATAAAATAATTAATTTAATAATAAAAACAGAAAAATGTTAAATTTTGAAATAAAATGAAATATATGCAAAAACTAAATATTGAAAAACCTAAAAAAAACTTAACCACTATATAATGTTTAATATTTTCTTATATTTATTTATATATTTATTCATTATATAAATTATTTTTAAAATTATTTCATTAATTCAGTTACAGAAGTCCCATGTTTATATTGTTTGTTTTTGAAATAAACACAATATTGACTCGGAAATGGAATCTAAAAATATGGAAAGAAAAAACTTATATTTAAAAAATTACTTAATATTTTTGTATTTTCGGCTTTCTACGAATTTATACCTTATTTTTCCAACTCCTTTGATCATTTTTGTTGCTCTAGTTTGTACCAGTTCAAAAATGTCTTTGTCCTATAGCAGATCTGGACTCCAAACCTTTGAACATTAATCAAGATTAGGACGAAAAAGTTAAGCACATTGTCTTGAAGTTTTCGTGCTTTTATGAATAGTGATTCCAAGGTCTTTTTCTTCTTCTGTTGATTGAAGGTCTTTACTGCTTAGTTGATACTGAAAGCTTTTGTTCTTTCTTCCCATATGCATAACTTTACATTTGTCTATGTTGAACAGCATTTACCAATTTTCAGACAATCTTTCTCGTTATTGACCCTTGCACACAGCTTCGTGTCATCCCCAAATTTTGATATTTTTGACATTATGCCGAAATCGATACCATTAATGTAGATAACAAATAGTAAACGGCCCAGCACCGAACCTTGAAGAACTCCACTTTTTTTTATTATTCTTTAAAAATCAGGATTTGACAGACGCAGAAACTGTAACAACATGCAAGGCAGATGTACAAAATTAAACTTGTGACGCTAATCTAATTTGAATTATTGCCTTTGATCCGCACTTGTTGTTCTCGGTTCTTCAGCCAGTTAGCAATCCATTGAAGCAAATTTCCAGATATCCCACATGCTTGTAGTTTTTTGACAAGTCATTTATGTGGCTCTTTATCAAATGCTTGTAGTTTTTTGACAAGTCATTTATGTGGCTCTTTATCAAATGCTTTCGCGAAGTCCAAATAATTTATGTCTACGGAGTTCTCACTGCCCACAATGTCTTATACTTCCTCAAAAAAATCCAAAAGATTGGAAAAACAAGAACGTCTTTTCATGAACTCTTTAACCTCACTTTCTATTTTCAAAAATTATCTATTTTCTAATGATTCATATTTTTTGATTATTTAATAATTATTAACATGTTTCGATATTGTCGTATCGTTAATAACTAATTATTATTGTCACAATATCGTCTGTTTTTATAAATCGTCCTGAAATTTGTGCGTTTTTGTCATTGAATTTTTAGAGAGCTATCGTTTTCAATTACCCATTTAATTATTTTTTTTTATATAGTATTAATCTTTATCTATCTATAACCATTGAGTTAACTGCTTATTTGATCTCATCATTTCATTTGCTTACATTATGGTAACACGAGTTCGAAGTGAAGAATCGCACCATACTCGTGAAAAGTCTGTTCATCCTAACAAACTCTTTAAAAATTTATTTAATTTAGCAATTTGACATTACATTAAATCGAAATCACAAGTAACAAAATAGGATAAGTATTAAACCTAACCAATAAAAGATCGGAAAGGAATGGTTACGTATTAAATAAAAATTTAATTTCAGAAAAAGATTGCAGAAGTAAACGAATACTTTTATATTGAATTAGTTTCTGGAAATAAAATCATATTCACTTTAAATAATGGAAATAATTCAATTTTAAAATACATTACACAAGAATCTCAAAAACATGATTGATGTTAAATAAGATGAGAATTATTGTTCGTTGTTATAATAATTAAAAGGAAATGAGAATTGATTTTGTCGAATGTCTGGCTGAAAGTCCATCCGTGTGTTGGTTTGGTTCCAGAAATTGTGGAAGTGTTGCTGTGAGTGTCCTTGTTGGTTGAATTGAAAGTACTGAGGGGAGTATATTAATTGATTGATTGGTGAATTTGCATAATGAGGTAAAAAATAAGTTGGTTGGCTGTCTGAATATGATTGTGGATGGTATGTCTGATGATGGCAGGATTGAGCTGGGTGTTGATTTGAATGATTAAAATCAAAATAAAATTATTGTTTTTGGAAATGCTGTTGATCTGGTAATGTTTGAAAAGGTGTTGTATCGTGTTGATTGTAAATGCTTCGGCTACTGATAGCAGTTGGAGAAGGTTGGTTGCGAGCAAGAGTTGAATGAGGACCTGTTTGTTGAGGCATGTGAGGAGTCTATTCGCAAAATATGTTTTTATGTTGTAGTTGATCAATTTTTGGCTGACAGATTTTTTCGTCACCAACTTTTGGTAATTGTTGTTGGTAAAAATTTTCTGCTTCATTCTCTTGATCTTGACGACCATTTTGACTTGGATTATAATGGTTCTGTATATGGTTTTGCTGGTAGATTTGATAATTGTTTGGACTGACCAAGTGTTTGAAGGAAGGTGATGCCTTGTATTTAACCCAACACCTAATTAAGTGACTTTACTATATATATTAGAGAGAGAAGAGGATTATTATCATTTGCAAAAAGTTCCCACAGCAACAACATACCTTTTGGTTTTATCTGTCGTAATTCTTATTCATATCAGAGTAATTTCATACAATTAAAAAAAACTGTTTCAAAAATGTCATCTAACAAAATAAAAAAAATTAAAAGGCCACCAAATTCATTTTTTTGCTTTAGTGAAAAAATGAGGCGTCAATTCACAGAAGAAAACCCAGGCCTCAACCAAAATGTCATAACGAAGATGTTAGCTAAAAAGTGGAAGACATTGAGCAAAAAGGAAAAACAAAAATACAAAATTGAAGCTGATTGTCAAAATGCGCTACACGAAATTAAATAACCAGGGTACGTATACAGGGCGAGGAAACAGCCTAAAAACGTCGATGGCAGCGTTCAGAATAAGAAGACAAAAAGGAAGACGCCATACGATAAACCGTCGAATAAGAGAGCGAGAATTGATGTACAGTGTGGTGAACTACATGAACAAAGTCAGGTCCAAAAATTACAAACTGACTATACTCTACATATTCAGGACAATTATAATCCAAGTCTAAATGGTCGTCAAGAAAATGAAGAAGAAAATTTTACCACAACAATTGCTAGGTCAGTCCAAACAATTACCAAATGCCGTCTTGGTTTGGAGTTAATATTTTATTTAATTTTAACATTTAAAATTTCAAATTATTTAAAAATAGCCGATATTCATATATGCAGCAACAAACGTTAAGCTATTGTTAAAATGGCCATTCCTGGCTCCGTACGCTTTTGTATTAGAAAATGTACGTACTTACTGTGTGTTGTTGCGACTTAAACTAAAATATTAATATCACTACTACTTTAATTTAATAATAAATATGTCGACGATAAATCAAATTTAATAACAAGAAATTTAAGGTAACAATAATGGTAATAATAATGGTAGTAATAACAATATAAGAATAATAATGGATACTTTATCATCATATTTGGCATCCACGAGAGAGACGCCAGACGAGGTAGGTCCCGACTTTCCCCTCATTTGCAGGCAGCCGACCTCTGCTACAATGCTCGGCCCTGAACATCACTTTACATTATATTAACAATTGCGAAAGAAGCACCAGATTTCCCATTCCAGTTGAAAAAAAAACTAAACTGGTACAGATGATTGATGAGATTTGAGTGTTTTATTTTCACATTAATTATTAATAACTTTATATTTGCATTTACGTACGTTTTAAAACTCAATTTAAATATTAAACTGACCGACTTTAGTTGTACACATTCTTCTCTACTATGTCGAGCAATATAGATACAAGGTTCAGACTGTATAAAATAAATTATTGTCTGTTTATTAACTATATAGCAACTCTATGTTTATCATAAAATTGGTTTGATAACGACAAAATAATTAGAAAGATTGAACCCCAATTGAACAATTAAACCAGCCCCTCTAAAATGTATTCACTTGCAGTGACGAGCATTTTAGATTAATAGGATTTTATAATTATTTCATTATTGATATTTGGTATTTGGAGTTAGAAAATAAAAGGATGTTCTCATTATTATTATTTATTATTATTTTTATTAGTATTTTATTATTTTATTTCACTGAAATATTCTTTTAATTTTATGAGGTTTTTTATTAATTTTTTCATAAAAATTCTTCTTAGTTCTCCAATTTATTATGGTGATTATATTTTATATCATTTTATTTTTTGTGATTTCGATTTGATGTGATGTCATTATTTTAGAAAAAAAACTTTTAATCATATTCTGATCACACAATCTTTAATTGCAAATAAATAACGAAGACTTGTGAACATTTCTGCTTATTTCTTATTTGACTGATAATTTGGTTTATTTGTAAAAAACAAGAACATGATGAATATACATATAAACTCATTTTTAAGGTTCTAGTGGAAAATGTGAATAATATTTTGGAAGTCGGATTTTATTGATGAAGTGCTCATTGCTGGGTGAAGACACAAAGCAAATGCTATGATAATGCAGCTCTGGATTACAAGACACAATTTTTTTGAGATTCAGCTCAAATGTTATTGTTTCAAGCATTGTTTGAAACAATAACTTTAGACAATAAGAATAGCAATTTAACATTGTTAAATTTTAATTATTATTATTTATTATTTAATTACTATCTAATTATTAAAAATTATAAATAATGCATTTTAAAAAATAACATTGTTTTTGTTTTCAAGTTTGAAATTTTAATTTGCGAAATTGAAACAAGAATGATTAAAAATGTGTCGAAAAATAATAAATAAATAATGAAAAACAAGTTTGAAAATAATTTAAAATTTAAAAAAACGAAGAAAAATGCCTTGAAATATTAAAAAATTATTTGGTTTAAAATAGTTACATCTATTCCTAAATGTTGATAGTTAAGAAAGCTAAAACTTTTAGGAACTCACAATAAAGCAATTTAATTGAACGTTTCCAACATCAAATTTTTTATTAGGCCCTATACAAAACTTTCCACAAACCTCCAAAAATGTTGGTGCAATGAATTTCTTTCTATGATTGACAGCTCAAGTTAAACGCATTTAAACAAATCTGGAACAGTTAAGTTAGGATATAACTCTATAAATCATATTTGAAACATTAGACTGGCAGGATAATAAGGAAAAGTTATTTCTTATTTTGCACTAAAAAAAATTTTTTTTTTTTAATTTTATCCTAGATGGACAAATATTTTTGTTTTAATTATAATTATTTTTTCACGGTTTCAATTTTTTTCGGAAATCCACAATAAATCATTTTGAAAAGTTTTATTAAATAATTTTTTTTATTTAAATAAGTAAATGTTGATTATTATTGAATATTCAAGGAAAGAAGATAGCAAAGATGATATCGGTTGAAATGGCGATAATAAAATGAAATAATAAACTGATATTACAGACCATATATATGTGAATATATACATATACACCGACATTTCTATAGACCAGCCCCTTAGGAAATGTTCTGCTGGTTAGTCATAAAGTTCTGCCTCGGAATATATTATAGTCGGACTTATATTTATATTTGCAGGAATAAAATATTTGAAATAATTTGTTATTATGTTGAATTGTTTATTTATTTGTTTGTTCTTACATTTACTTGACAATTTTTAACTGCAATACAATTTCATAGGCTGAATGGAAAAAAGATCTAGCAGGACGAAAAGTAAGAAAGCACACGCCGCATAGAAAAATGAAGAGTCAGATTGTGTAAATTAAAAAGTGAAACAATAAATTTCAGTATCGTTTGACGTCATCATATGATGTCATCATCACCAAACCAGCACCATCATCAGCATCCTACTCATCTCTTTCCTGTAGCGTTATTATCACCGTTACCACCGTCACCATTATCTGCAGCACCGTATCGATATTTCAATTTCGAGGTTGGCTGGATGTGGTTTGGCTGTTTTGCATAGTTGACGGTGGTGACGATGGAAACTTTGCTGGGTGCACTGTGGGACCATTTTATGAGGGAGGACATGGAACAGCATGGAATCACCTGGAATGTGATGATGATGATGACAAGGGGGATAACAATGATGACGATGGAGGCGATGATGACGTAGGTGGTTTTAAACGATACTAAAAAGTGCTTCTTAAATGCGTTTGAAATCAACTTTTCACAATTACGCAGCCCTCTTAAAGACTAGCGCAGTCCCAATCAACGCAAACAGAGAGATGAACTGGACATTACTGCTACCCAGTCAAGCTGCCAATGATGGTGATGATGTTTGTTTGTAATGATAGTGATGGGGTTTGTTATGATGATGATGATGTTTGCAATGATGGTGATGATGGTGATTGCGAGGCTGAGGAATGTGAAATCAATTGAAATTGCTAGTATTATCAAGTGAATAGTTAATATGCAGGAAGAGGTTGAAAGTTATTTCCTCTTAGTGCAATTTCTTGGTGATATCAACAACATATTTGGATGGGCCTAGATCATCACGATAATAATCATATCTTTAAAAATATTAATTAATTATATTATTTTGTCTATCTTCTGATCTAGCTTCATTTAATAATATTAATTAATTATATTATTTTCTCTATCTTCTGATCTAGCTTCACGAAATAATATTTCTGTCCCTGCAGATAAAATGAAACACGAAACAACAAAAATCGAGCGAACTCGGGAATGCCCTTGTCTACCTTTAGGTTTTCCCTTGCACTGCATATACATAAGGAACGCGCGAGCGAATAAATGATAACATGTAACATGTGGGTGGGCGCACTGCGCATAGAACACGACAAACAAACAGCCAGGCAGACAATCCGGCAGTATTATTTGACGTCGACAACAAAATTGTCACGCCGAAATATGAATACGTTACGTTAATTATGTTACCCAATGCAGCTTGCATTGTTGCGGTCTGTCTGCTGAATGTGATATTATAAATCAATGTATGCTTTGTTTCATTTTTTTTCTTCTTCATTATTTATGCCTGGATTCTTGTTACCAGTGACGGCATTAAATAATAAGATTATAGCTTGGAGGTGGATCATCCAGTGGAACAACTGCAATAAACATCAGAACATCAATGGAAGGTTATCTGGAAAATATTTCTAGACAGCTTTTTTGTTCAAATGCTAATGTTAAATCAAAAATTTTGAAAACGGTAAATGGTTCAAATATTTCAAAAAGAATTTAAATTTATCTTCTTGATAAAAGAGTTTGCAACATGAAATTACGTGCAAATCTATATAAATATTTATTCAACAAAAGTTTACTGATTTGGTTTAATCTACGCGTTTCAAAAGGAGCATGCGAGTCTAGCATTCACTGAGATTTATGTCCTGCTTTCATGCATTTGACGAAAATGAACCTACTTAAATACAAACAACAGCAGCAGCAGCACAACAACAACAGAAACAGTGCTTACAACTACATCAAGCTTATAAATCAATGTTGTGAATGCTCTGTGTTATATTTTGGACAGCCGAGTGAGCAGAACTATGGTTCTAAAGTTTTTATGAAAGCATTGCCCATAGAGTTAGTTCACAGTTGGTTGGGCTTATTTGTTGCAACGACGGAGCAAACATCGTTCACTTTCAAAGTTCTCTTTATTTCCATTCACTTCAATAATAGAATGCCCACATTCCCAAAGGTAAGCAGAGTAAAAAATCATACCTCAAGATTTTTCGACAGGAAACTTGTTGTAGAATATTTCTATCACGTGATTAATTTTCCACCATCGCTGGCGATAATTTCCAACAGTTCAACTTTGTTTTGATAGATGTACTCCCGCCACACAATAATTCACGACCTTTATTCATTAACCAAGAAGCCGTTACTCAGCCTTCAGTCGGATTTCAATGTGCTGCATCT